TCAGACTGAACAATCGTTTCCGACCATCACTTGTTTGTAGATCTCCTTGCACTCTCCCAAATCTTTCGGCTCTTCCACCTAGCTTTCGGACTTGATTGGTGAGTTCACTGTTTGGGGAACACATCACTTCGAGGAGATCTAATCGGGTGCCTGCAGGAGTTCGACTGGCCTCCCTCTGATGGATCACTTGATTGAGTTCTTGAGAAAACTTCTTCACTAGCTTCTGAATCTTGGCTTGATAGTGGAAACTCTGGTTCGGTTTGGAGAACTCAAAATCCATATCGAGGCAGCTTGTCATGACATCTTCAGGCGCTGGACTAGATCCTATGGCTCGGCCTTCACACTCAGTCCTCGAATGTGTTGCAACAGTTCCTGCATTGTCATCTCCATCTGGGTCATGCGGTTGACCAAGTTCTGGTTCTGGAGATGGAGACTGCTCACCTGATCTTCGACTTGGTTCAGTTTGCTGATCCCAGGCAATTCGAACCCTTGGGTCAGGTCCGGCTCCGAGATCTCGTCCCATGACGTCACTTCGGCTGCAGTCATCTCTGATCCCTGGGCGGTCTTGGGAATCAGTTTGGCTCCCTTGGTGTTGGCTTTGTTCTTCTGGATGTCCTCCGTGATCTCTGCGTTCAGACGCTTCTCGACATACTTGATGTAGAGTTGGTGAGCTGGTTTCGGACTCTTCTCGTACGTCTGAACAAACCAATCCGTCCAGGCGGCATCCTGAAAGACTTTCTCGAACGGCTGACCCATCTTTGCCTTTCCAAAGGCAATCTTCTCGGCTGACAGCTCTTCCAAGCTCATCTTCTGGATTTTGATCAGTTCGTACTGATCTGTGGACTTCTGCTGAGACTCTCGGAAGGCCTTCAGCTGCTCTTGGATGCTGCTCATCTCGGAGTTCGTGGGCACGACGATGGACGATCGGATCGAAAACTTGGGCACTTGCAAAACTCACTGCGGACTTTGGTTGATCTGGACATTGATCTTGTTTCCACGGTGACATGGGATTCTTGGACGTGTTCATGGCATGTGGTATGTCATGTACCTCATGTGACCACTGACCTTCAACATTCAAAATCTCATGATGTGGTGATTCTGAACCTGGCAGCGTTCTTTGGCTATTCTCGGTCGCACATGTCAATCCGGCTGCATCGGATTTCTGCATCTGCTGCACACTTGATGGATTCTCCCACAGTTGATTGATATCCATGGTGTAAAGGTTCTTCTGGTTGGGTTCAATGAGAAGTTCTTTGTTGAGGGTTTTACTCCATAAGGTTCCCTTGTCAGTGTCAATCACAGCTCTGATCCCTTTCAAAAACGTGCTAGAGATTAGGAAGGGTGTCCTGCCTGGCACGATTGCAATTCGAAACTTCATGGAACCCAAGGGCAGCAACAACGCATGGCGACAACTCAGCGTTTGCTGATTGCCAAATCGGAAAGTCAGGCTGCAGTTCGTGCGAGTAACTTGTTTTCGAATGTGGCTAGGCAAACCTGCAAGCAGTTCTGGAATCTGCTGATCTCCAACAACAGTTTGTGAGGCTCCAAGGTCAACAATGCCTACAGTGCCGGATGTTGCAAACAAAACTTCACTGCACGAACTTTCAGGAACACTACGGGACAGGCTGTCCGCGGCAAGGACCTGTTGTCCTTTGGCACATGCATCTTTGGGAAAGTTCTCAGATGATTTCATGGTCCTGAGGCGTTGGCGCCACAGTGCATTGAATCGGGATGAGAACGCAGCTACCCCTGATTGAATCCCTTTCATTATCTTATCCCCTCTTATCCTATCCCCATTATGCGTTAGCCCAAAACACACTTCCATGTCATGTGGGTCCTGTGCATCATCAACTGTGAGATGGGCAAACTCCATGGGCGACTCTTCGGCGATCACAAACGATGTGGGAATGGAACTCGAGGCAGTGGAGTTACTCTGGCCACTGGTGTTTTGCAAGTTTTTCTGGGGACACTCATTTTTCCAGTGCCCTTTCTGCATGCAAATTCGGCAGAATGAGTTGGCAATTCTGCGGGCCAAACCCCCTGCTCCAGAGAAAGGATTCTTTCCTTTGGATTTGCCTTTTCCCTTCTTTCCAAAACCCTTGTCAAATCGTTTTGAGACCGGCCAGAAACCTCGAACCTTCACACGTTCACTCAAACGTCGGCGGGCATCTTGATAGGTTGAGTAGAATGCTGCAAGCTCACTGTCGGACTGAATTGTGTCAGCAATGGAATCTTCAAATTGCATCACAAGAATGGCATCTTCATCATTCTCAGCGGCTAACGTCTCTAGGATTTCGTCTTCAGGCATGTCATCTTGGGTTGCAAAAATCTCATGATCAGCGTCCCAGTCCTCATCAACCTGAAAGGCTGTGTGATCATAGGTTTTGGAACTCTTGGCCTCACGGCGAGCACCTGTGTATTCCTGAAAGAACCCTGACCCCAAGAGACGAATGGCTGAGGTCACATTATCCATTGTCAGCTGATTGCCTTGCTCAGCCTTGGACTCCACAATCACTCGTTTCTTGTCCTCATGTCCAAGCTTGCTACCACGAAGAACTATGTATGCCTGAAGTTCCCTCAAATCGACTTTCTTAGACAGCAGTTCAGTCCAGGTCACGTCACACCTCGACAAATAGCTCTCAGAGGATTCATCGGCTTTCTGGGCACTTCGGTACAAGGCCTTCTCGGCGAGCTCAAACTTTTTCTCAAGTGGTATCTGTCCCCATGTACCCCCAACTATCTCAACCAGGCGTTTGATTCCTTTGTCAGTTCCAGTCAAAACTTCGGCACGAAGGAGCTGTAACTTCTGATAGGCTGTTCCTTTACATCCCAAAATCAAACGTGTTGCCAATTCATTGAGTTTGTCAGTGGGCCATGTGTTCAACAAAAGCTCTACTTTACTGGTCCAGATCTCCACATTGTCAACTGAAGGGTCGAAACCCGGAACGAGGCTGGCCAATTCCTTCGGCACAACCCCTGTACGATCACCTCCCCCGGAGGCTTCACTCATGGCTCCTTCAGGTCGAACACGGCAATGAAACAAATCACTTCAGTGGTCCCTGGGAGCTAGATCTCACACGACCAGGTAGCTCCGCTACCAATCTCGAAAGATTGGTAGCAAGCCAACAACTGTTGTACGGATCCCTGATCCAATATTGATATCCCTGTAAACCAAGTTGTTGGGTCCCTGCCAACAGATGAATCCCAGCCCTGTAGGAATGATACCGCAGCTTTTCCACGAAGATGGCTCAAGCGTAAAACGCCCTCCCACCTATGGCACAACTGAGCCTTCCCTGGCTTCGGAACATGTGCAAGTGGTCATCTCGAACAGGCATAGGTTTGTGAATATATATATATATAAATATAATATTATATAATATATACGTCATTCTCCCAGCATTCAGGTGTTGTTTCATTACATTCAGGTATTAAGTTTGGGTTGACTCAACAGCAAAGCAGCTGCGTGCACTTTTTGCCTTGATTTTTGCAACACAGCCGTGTTCTAGATTTTGCATTCTACTGTTTGAAAGGCTGAAGAAAATTGCACAATGTAAATGTAATTATCAATCAAATTGATGTTTTTTAGGTTGTATTGCATTGGTACTGTTTGCCACGATTCGAATACTTGGATGGTGTTGGCTTGTTTGCAATTGGTACTGCCAGCCTCAAACTACAAAATTTGAAAATAATGACGCTATCGCAGGGGACGACGGTTCCAGTGGAAACATCACCGCTAGAGATTGTGCAAAATGTGGGGTTTGGGGACGACCCAGATTGTTATTTTGCGAATTTTTTGGCCTATCATTTTGCAAGAAAATTGTGGCAAACTGATATTTGGCAAAAATCAGCTTTGATATTTTGGCGTCACAATGTTTTGGCAAAATGATATTTTAGCAAAACACTTTGGCAAAATGATATTTTGGCAAAATGATCTTGTGGCAAAACAATACTTTGGCAGAGCAATACATTGGCAAAATGATATCTTGGGAAACACACTGGCCGCTTCCCAAACAAACACACTGTTCAAAGCAAACGATTTTGCAAATTGGTTCACGAAATAGCCGCAAATTGAATGGCAGAAGAACCACCAATCCAAAGGTCTTTGATCTTCACCGGAAAAACAGCAGCAAGAACATCATGAAGCAAAAGGACCCCCAGGACCCCAGGAGCCCGAATTATGTGCTACTACAGTAAGTCTGAGTTTGATTTACTGATGCGACTGCGCCGTATTGTTCGCTGCGCCAAGGGTGGTGCAAGATTGGGTTGCGTTTTATCATCACGAGTGCCGGGACGCCGGGACGCCGCCGTGCATGAACATGCTTTGAAGTCATGCGCTGCCCATACGGGTTTTCCGTGTAAAGACCGTTCAGCCAAGCTTGAATTTGAGTTTGTTTGGTCATGAAAACCATGTCAGTTGATCTTTCTATCGGCTTATGTTGCGCGATAAGCGTCATTATTTGCAAGTTTTGTGCTTTGAGGCTGGCAGTACCATAATAGCAAACAAACACAATTGTCCCAATTGTTGCACAGACACACAGTACCAACCGGAAAAAAAAAACATATCGGTGGCATCTATTTGATTGAACATTTTCATTTTACATAGTATATAATTGTATATATTAGTTATAATACAATAATTAGCCCCGCTTTGCAACCCGACAGCGAAAGGTTCCAGCAAGGTTCCAGGACTGTTCCGGTTTTGCGGGGCGTGCATTTTCGTGTCACCAGTCCCCGGCCCCAGAGATTGAAACCCAACAGATTCGCTGTTGTGAATTATTAATCGTATATAAAGCACAAACAAGATGCTTTGGCAATCAAAGGAGCATGCTGACTGGTCGCAAGCCTTGAGGCAGTGATAAACTTCACGTCACTGATCGATTGCAACTTCCTAAATATATAGTTTGTGGATGCTGAATTGGTTGATTAATAAGGTTTCTCTCATTGGTTTCATCTGCCTTTTGGTAACGCGAGTCCGACAGAAAATAAATAAAATAGACAGCCTCCTCTCCAGAGTGCAAGTAGCGGCCCTCTGGCTTCCCAAAGACCTGGAGGTGTCAGGTAAACACATCCCTGAATGGCATTTTCTATAGCGAATTACGTAATACTATATGATTATATAATCATAATTATAGATACATAGAATCTTCACCCGTCATGTGGAGAGTTCACAATAGGATACACTAAGCAGATCGTTCTTGGTTATTTGCACATAAATTTGTTCATAGTTCAACAACACTTCATCTCTTCCAGACTAGTCAGAAAGGAAACTATTTCAACTGGACTTCCAGATCCGCAATAAAATATATCCTAGAACTGAACCTGCAGGGCAGAAATGCAGTCAAACATGCAACCACGAGCTTTGTTGAAAACAAACCTCTTCCTTTGTCAACTTTGATCGTCACGGGTTCTCACAGCGGAACTGCACCTTGTGCGTTAAAATCTCCTTGGTTGCCCAGCCTCCAATAGCTGGGCAGGACATGACAAGAAATACCAATTTGAAGACACCTCAAAACCCCAAACCAGGTGGTGTCAATGCACCATCAAACAGGTAGTGACAACATTGACACCACAACTAGGTCTATTGTTTTTGAAAACAACTTTGGTTGTGTCCAATGTTGTGACTTGCCCTTCCCATCGCCCATCGCTGCTGAATGGATGCGAAACTCTTATCTCTTAGCACAGCTTCTGTAGGGCTGATCATGCGGCACACGAATTGAGCTTGTCTGAAGATAGTGTACCCAAACATCCAATACATTCAGCAATTTATCATTATTTTGTTTCCCCTAAAACTGCGATTTTAGGGTATCCTCATTTTTGGACAAACCTCAATCATGGTTCGGACTTTTTGCCCCACAGCACAGCAGGGTCATGCGCGTCGGTTGCCTGGGCTTGTCATGATACAAGCTGCCGGATATCAGATACTGAACATATTCCACCACTGACAGCTCAAGATAGCTAGATTTATACAGCACTAGCGCCATGATGCTATGATGCTATGCCGGCTATGCCTGCCTGTGGTTCAGCCTTTCAATTCCTGACGCAGAGCTGACATGGTCCAACATGCTGGGCGCAATCATTCTGAGATGTGTCGTAAATTGTAGTGGGAATGTTGCAACAAGTCCCTAAAGTGACCTATGTTTGGAACCTCTCATCGTAAATTTGGCAATGTCCATTTATCTAATCGTAGGTATTATCTCAATACATATAGACATTGCAATGCAAAATCAATCAGAAACTAAGCAGACTTTTCATGTTCAAAGCGACGTGCAGTCTCATTTTCTCTTCTCGAGTTTGGCGCTTGAATCTATAGACATTATTCAAAGCAGACGAAAGTACAACAAAGCCGGTGGACATCCATTGCGACAAGACAAATCTCAAATCCCTATAAAGAAAGTTTTATCTGTTTAGGAAACTGAAGCTTGAAGTTGACAAACTCAACAACACACATGCCAGTAAGGATCAGCCGCAAGGCAAGTGTAAGGATGTAACCGACAGTGTCTGCAGACAACGTTGCTTGCAAATAGGTTGCCTCGACACATTTGGACTGTATGTTACATGTATGTTACATGTATGTTACAGCTAGCTGTTGGAAGCAAATTGAAAAATCCATCAATATCCGTCAAACTTCTGTAGTTCTCATATTTGTTCAGCACTTTCTCAGCACCTTTTCAGCACTTTCCCAGCACTTTTACCTATATTTCTTTGTGTTTCTCTGTGGTTTTGGGAAAGATTGAATCATAGGAGGTGCCAATCGTGAGCCTAGTGTCTGTGCCGAGGACCGCAGTCCGGCAAACAGCGTCAGAAAGCAGAACTCGACCCTCCAATTTCGCTCAAGCCTTTTAGCAGGTGCAAAACGCTGCAAAGCTTAAAGAAAGTGCGCAGTTGAACACATAGCTAGCTCATCTAAGCCCAAGCTCTTTTCTCATATTTAGATTTACAGTCTGTGTGTACTTGCATTCTGGAACAAATGATGGCTCATGCGAGAAATCGATGTTGAGTCTATCCTCATTAGGTGAACACACCTGCAACTGTCATGCATTCTCCAAGTTAGCTTGCTTTGAAACCAAGATTGTGATCTTACTTCCTGAAATCTGGGAAATGATGTACCAGTTCAAACAACATAGATTAGCTTTAGATCGTTGTTGGACTTGAAATTTTTCCAACACACCAATCCAGAAATCCGCATTCTTCAATTCAATGCGGGCCTAAAAGAAACGAGGGGGGTGCGAACGTGCGACAGGTGTTGGATTCTGGCAATTGGCGGGTATATCCACAGTGTATGAACTTTCATATACAGTAGAATCCTTCAAATGTACAAACAGGCGCAACCAATTCAATTAATGTGGAGTTTATGCAATGTATATAGAATTTTCAAACACGTGTATATATATATAATATTATAGATTATATATATATAATATACAGCTGGATCATATCATAATGTGTATTATGATGCACATAATTTCATGAAATGAAACGAGATCACATACAATAATGATGCCCAAACAAGGATGATCACAATCTATCGGGCATCCAGTTTACCTCATCACAGCTGTGAAGGCTTGCGCTTCCCATTCAAAGAGTTTCAGTAGGAAGTCTGCTTCGAGACCCCCAACCGCGGGAACATCATGGAATAACGTGGTGATGGGGGCTCAGGCCCAAAGAGATCCAGCTGATCGCTGAATTTTCCACGCTTGAAGTGATCATCTGGTGATCATTCAGAGATATTCAAAGCCCAAACGTCTGAATCCTAGCTGCTTAGCTGGACCTCAATGAAATCTTCAAAAATGATCCCCATCATCGTAGTGTCCGGATCCTTGGCCCAGTCAATGAAATAAGCATTGCTTAGCAGCAAAACCCTGAGGGTCCTGTGGTATTACCACCACCACCACCACCACCATCGTAATCATGATAACAATGATAACCATCACCATGACACACCGCAATAGCCACTTCTAGAACACATGATAGTCAAAATGCGCTCACCAGGGTCAATGATTTGCATGATGACCTTCATCAATTTCGACAAAAACAAGGGGGCAAGAGCACAACCCAGGACACTCAATCACGCTAAATCCCAAGAGCACAACAAATCCGCGTGAGTTTGATGACATGAACGACCAGTATTTCAGACCAGCTCAACCAAGGATCAATGGAAGCAGCAGCATCAACCATGGCAACATGATCGTATATGTGGATGCAGCACCAATGCCCGTGGCTGAGCATGTGCGGCCGTTCCAGCCTCAAGGCAGTGAATGTCTCGGGAAGCCCCCATCAAAATCATGGGCATAAATTATTCAAATAATTGATAATTACAATACATAAAATAATGTGAGTGGAATACACTCCAATCACGTGTTCAACAGTGGGGAATAGCCATTATAACCATTATATCAATGCGATTCAATGCGTATCAATGATCAAGGGACCGAAGCGAACAGCAGCATGGCACAGCGTGTGCAATTGAAGGATCTGTATTGCCGGCCTAAAGGATCCACCTAAAAACACCGGGAGGTATGCCATGATATGTCTCGATTGCTTTGGCCTACTGCATTTTTCGGGATCGCAGTAACCAAGTCCTGTTTCTCCAACGGATAAGAGTGAAGCAAACTGGAAATTGTAGAAACGAAGAAAAACAAACAAGTGAGGATATGAGCTGCAATTCAACTGGACTTTGAAGCAACATAATACTGTAGCTCAGTGGCAATACCCAGCGCGGCACTGGCAACTTCCACTCACACACTGGGAGTAGTCAATCCAACCTCAAAAACGGCAGGCTACCAGCTACCAGTAGTATCCCGCAATATCCCTACTGGTTCCATGATGGGTTCCCGCAAGCAAATCCTGATGTTCAGTGATTCGGTTGCATGTTTGGTATTGTTTCTGAGAGATTTTGTCGGATCCTCCATAATCAGCATTGCATGATATTGCATGAAAACGGCTAGAAAAAAGGCATTTAGCCGAAGGAACATGTGTCAGTGCAGCTCGTGGTTGTGTCTTTCGCACAACTTGAAGTTTCCGTTCGCAGAACTTCCTCCAAGTCGAGCTTTTGGGAGGGGGTGAGTCACTTGCCATCGATTTGTAGAACCACTGTCCAAATGAGCATCTCCTTTCAGAACTGTTTGCGAATCTCAACTCGCCAATAATATCAAAAATAGACAGTCTTTTGATATCTGATATCTTTTGATAAACATGCCCAAATCTAGGCTGTTTTCCTGTGGTGCGTCACCCAACGTAGATATGCTGGCTGTCCTGCTGGGTAAGCACTAAAAAGAGATCAGGCGAGAACGACATAGTTTTGTTGAACCTTGGTACCATGATTGCGCCAAAGCAGGGGATGTTTTGGGGGTGTGGATAAAGCTGACATCTTTTCTTCAGACCGTCCATAATTCAGCAGTGACCCCAAACGTTGTGGAAATCTCTTTCCAAACCATTTAATTTTAATAACATTCTTTAATGGTCAATCAACTTTTGAATATATTTGAATCATCCTGCAAATTTACCTATTAGATCCTATTAGTCATCGAGTTACCCCAAGCTTCAAACACCGTGCCGAGCAATGCCGGCACGCAACTCCTCCACCAAAGACGCTTGGGCAGCGGTGAGTGGTGGACAAATGCCTGTGATCGGATCAGTGTTGATGTCCTGCCCTGTGATGCTGGTGAAGGTGACCTTCAACGGAGGCACGTAACCTCAGCCGCGGGCAGGCCAAAGATCCATTTTGGATGCTGGATGCGACATGTTATGACATGTCATGACATGACATGTCTATCCTGGACTGCAGATTGTCACGAAAAACTGTGGAAATAGAGGAACTGAATGGTATTTTGGTAGAATTCAGCGCACTTGCAGCGTGCTACTCAACCGAGGATGTGCTGATTAGGATCAAGGCAGTCTTGTGATCAAATTCCAGATCCTCTGCCCTCAAATATCTCGTCTCTTTGAGCCTCTTCTTACATCATATGATGCTGACAAAAGTTGTGATCAAAATAGCCTCCAGCACATGCAACCTAGCAAATTTTAGCTGTATTCAAAAGGCTTTCCAGCTTGGAAAGAGCAAGTAGCTCTCGTCTTTTTCTGGTGGTAGCAATGGGGATGCTTGAAATCTGGTCTTTTTGGACAGAAATATAGAGGTGATCAAACATGCTCATTTTTTGGTAAAGGGAACAATTTTGCGAAGTCACTTAGCCACTTTGGATACTTCACGCAACTCTCTTCAAGATCTTCAAGTCATTTCATGGAATCTCCTAGAAAAACATCCATGTTTTTGTCCAGTCACTGTTCGGAATGAAACCAGTCGCAGCCAAGTCATCTCTGTTATAGGTGGAAGCAGTGGTATAGCCGCAGCCCGCTGCAGTGTTGCAGGATCTGCCGGATTGGCAGTAGGGGTATCCTCAGATGAAATAAATTTGCTATGGACTCAATGGATTTTTTGGGATTTGGGCTTCAAATCATCCACATTCATCCACATATCATCCATAAAACCAGCATCTTGTGTGTGTGTGTAAAGTTTTTTTTATTTATTTTTAATAAGTTGAGGTGCACAAGTCTTTCTGATGGCTGTGAAAGACTGGATGCTAGCCTCACCAAATTATCGGATTGCTTCAATCTGCAGCCTTGTCGCAGTTGTCTGCACGGATTCAGCTACAACTATATCTACAACTTATACAACCCATCTTTTTGGTGATATCTTTGTACCCAAAGTGACACATGGTGCTTGAAGCCTTGACGCCTTGACGCTTGCACTCTTGTGATGGACAGGGCATCGGATCATCAGGATCTTTGTATACTCTGTGTTTTCTCCGCCTTGTTTTTTTTAAATGTATTTTTCATGTAGTATCCGCATCATTTTATGACTTTTATGGTTGCGAGATGTTGCGAGCAAGTCACCATACAAACGGAAGCATGAGTTGCACTCCATGAAGTCTCCTTGTCGAGAGCCAGTGGCTGACACGATGCACCACTCTGCATCATAGTAGTTCCCCATTCGGCGTCGCCGGTGCAGGCCATAAGCATCGCTGTTGTACCTATGGCGTGGGTTGATACCGCTGAATGTCAAACACTCGTTCTGTATTTTGGGTGCTGTGAAAGTCTCCAGTGACTGACTGTCATTCATTGAGTTCCTTTGCAATTCCTCGCTCGATTATGCATCTATTTTATTCTATTTTGCTGCGACATCCAAATCATACGGCCTGGTGTCTGTGTTTAGAATCGCATGAGGTGAGGGACGGGTGTATTTTTTCCCACTTTCTGCCACTTTACAACCTGTATAGGGATCACATAGAATCTGAACGCAACTCGCATTGTGGCTCAAAACAACATAAAACGAGCTGCGGGTGATGATCTGGAACACAGACATCAGCATCTCATGAGTTCTCATGTCGGGGGGGTCTACTTGATTGCTTGAAGTTGGAGACTGCTGAACGGCATCTCAAATTCCACTGCAAAGGGTCACCTCATGTCAAGCAATGGCAAAACATTCGTCACTTGCTACCAAGGATCATGTTGTTGTACGCATACATGGCCCCAGCACCTGCCACTGCACCAGCCGCAGCTCCACCAACTGCATACATTGCAATGTTCGCGTTCGAATTCGGAGGTTTCGCGACGCCGGAGTATCCATAGTCTTGGCGCATGGGGGCGCTGCGCAACACAAGAATCTGCATCCACACTAAGTCTTTCATAGTCTTTCAGCTATATAAATCTATATAAATCTATATAATTCGTTTGACCGCCATCAGATTTGGAATGGGCGGCAGAACCACACAACTGCATAAACATAGTGCAACTATGTGCAACTTCTCTACCAACCAAACACATTAAGGAAAAGAGTCAGAAGTCAGGACAGTATGATAGCAAGAATTGATCATATGTTCAAGTAGGGTTCGTCCGAGACTGATCCCTGCTGCATATGCAATGTAACTGTAGGTGCGGTATGTGCACTCCCGTGATCTCACACTTATCATCATTGAATGATATGGAAGGGCTGACAACTATAGGCACTTAGAGGTTGAGAACCAAACCAAAAGCCAAGAAGTTGCTGTTTCTCATGCAGCAGCAAGCGGCTTGTCTGCACAGGCATGTTGCCGCCATAGTTGTTCATGACCCTCAGCAAACAATACAATGCACGAATGGAGAAGTATAAATTTGAGCCTTCCGGATCTCACACGCTCCAGTATGTCACTCGAAAAAATGGCCCAAGTTCTTGTTGTGTAATTAATGCTTGCGCAACTGCGAGTTTCTAGGCTGCAAGCGACATGTTTAAACTGCGGACAAGGGAAATGTTTGAATCATTCCACCATATTCCACCTTCGCACTAAGGCAAAGCATCACACAGAGACGCGAAGAAAGTCCACAGTGTTGAGGTTGAGGGACCATGCACAAGTTGTGTTTAGACTGCCGCGAAGCATGTGATGCTTGGCATGAGTCAAATGTGCTGGGATAAAGTAATTAATACAACTAAGCAAGCTCTGCTGCCTAGCAAAGGTCAAATGTGTATATAATTAGTATTATATAGTAACAGTGATTTATTATGCAATCTATATGTTAAAAAAAACACATATTAAAACATATCTAACATCATCAACACTTTGGACAAAATTATGTTTCTTTACACATTTTGAATGTCCCTTTTCGCACATGCCATGGCACGCAGGACGACTGGCATAGCCGTAGGAAGTTGGAGGAGCTGTGCGACGGCGACGCACATCCGTTGTGCTCCCCGATGCTGGAGCCCGGCGCCGGGTGGTGGTGTACCTTGGAGGCACCGCATCTAGGGACACATCGGACACATCAACTTCACTATGGCAAGTGTGGACTCAAGAAATTGGTGAACAAAAAATGAAAAACGAGTGAAATGGATCATTTCAAGACCTGTATTGATCTCATACACAGTTTGTGAAATGTCCTCTTTGCAAACAAATATTGGTTTATCGAATCATGGTTTATTTCAGTGAAACCTTTTTGTGGAAAGCATTTGCAATTTGACTGCAGTTTGTCCCCGACCGTCCCGATGGTCCTGAAGGCGCTTGGCCTGCTTGGCCAGTCCATCCAAAGGTCCCCCAAAATCCCCCAACCATGCATATATAGGTATAAATATAAGTGTGTACATATATATATATAATATTATATATATATCATAATTATAAATACCATAATATACATAATATTATATAGATGTCCAAAGTGTATCTGCACTGTAATTATGCATAATTATAATGAAATATCTGAGGAGTTGCAAAGCAATCGATTTTGGTATATGTCAGCATATCATGCTTTCTTTGCATACGAAGTGGATAGTCAATGCATACATTGCCACATATCCCCCACCCAACAGGACAAATCATGCTTCAGAGAAAATATAAAACAATAATATTAACAGCTATAAAAATATAACAATAATAATATAACAATATCATCCAATTTCCATTCCACCTACCAACTCCCAACACTTGAAATCAAAGTGACGTTTGCCCGTTGATGCTGGAGGTGCGTCGTCGTGTGTTCACCGGTGCTGGTGCCGGTGGAGGAGGTGCACGCCGCCGCGCTGCACGGCGCCGTGGGCTCACCGTCATGGTGCGGCGCCGGGGCTGGTAGCTGGTGGGCGCCGAATAGCTGCGGCGACGCGACGAGGTCGATGGAGCAGGAGGAGAACGCCTGTGCGACATGATTGTGCTGGCTGTGCTGGCTGTGCTGGCTGTCAATTGTGTCACTTTCACATCTGTCATATATTCACATCTATTCACATCTATTCACATCTATTCATATCATTCAGAAATATAATGATCTATTGGAACTGTGAGGGGCAAAATGATGAAGATGGCACATTGTCATTCAATATTACATCCTTGATCTACAATATCATTTTCATACATGATATGCACATATCCTGACATGCATACTGTCACCTTTGAGCCCATCAAAGTCAATCTTTTTGAGGCCATGCCTTCGGTAAGAGGTTGAAGAATATGAATAGGAAGAAGAGGAGAAGGACGTTCTGCGGCGACTGCTGTAACTTGAGCTGGAACTGAATGAACCGCTCCGACGACGAGCTGAAAGCCGACCTTTTTGGTAAACACCATGGTAAACGAGACCATTCATGACCATTCATGACCATTCATGACCATGGGGGAATTCTCCCCGGATTTCCCTCCAATTGAGCTTTGATGGGCAAAACATGATCAAATTTGGGGTATCCAAGTGGCGTAGGTTGTCGGCCGAATATCGACGACGGTGCGCACCATCACAGGTGTCAGCGTTCTCATTGTACGTCCATTCCGGATCATCACCTGGGGCCCAAATCTGGTCGATCAGTATGGGTTAGTGGCGGTTAGTGGTGCTTCAGATTCCTGCAATGGGCAACACTGGCCTCACGAATTCTACCTTTGCCTGTGACATTATACCTCGATGGAGGCTTGATGAGGACGTGTCAATCTACATCTATAGACCAAACGCGCATCACATACACACACACACACACTGCAGGACCCGCTGTATGTCCTCATGGCTATTGCCCTGGAAATGCGACGTCGCCATCATGTCTGGCTCTTACACCACTTCGACTCCACTGACCCCTGATCAATTACTGGAAAGCTGGATTTGCACATGTGCCATCCATGTGCCATCGGCTTCGAGTTTTCACAATGTTTCTTCATGATTTTTACTAGCCATCGGTATGCTCCTTGCATAGTGACACGGATGTTTGGTCCAAGGAACATGTCTCGTAGCTGAAATAGAAACCAGTGCCAAGCCAGGACTGCTTTGCAATGGGGCAGCTATCGTTGACATAACACCAGGAATCACAACACCAGTCCTGAGCAAAGCAGGAATGGTCATGATCCATCTTGATTGCAACATATTGCAACATATTGCAATGTTCAAACCTGGCTGTTGAATGTTTTTGGATATTTGTTGATCCCTGTGTGTTTTGTTTTTCCCCTTCTACAAGTAGTAATAAGTAGTAGATAGTAGTAGTGACTTAGTAGTGTCTTCCGCAAGACACGTGGGTGCATCGCTAGAAGGCTTGCTACGAAAGGTAAGAATGACTTTTGAGCTGCCAATAGCTGATGCACAATCCCCCGAAGAGCTGCAACCTGCTGCAAGCGAGTGTCGTGAGTGTTGCTGCTGCTCCATCCGCTGTTGGAGTTGGTTTCCCAAGTCGATTTGCATCCCAGGCTGTCCCAAGGCTTGCAACCTGATCCAACATAGTTCATCATGATTCATTTGTCATGACTGAAACCTGAGAAGTTTTGACTCACAGTATGGATGATGTTGAGCCCAACAAAATGATCATGTGAATCTTGTGAATCATGCTGTGAATCGTATGTCTTTGATTTTCGCGAGTCTGGCAGCCCACTGAATTCACCAAGGCGCTGCTGCCATAATTTGCCTTGAAAGTGCCCTCGACGTTGTCAAAGGTGCCGCTGGGCAACTCTCCTCGACATTGGCAGGCATCGTCGTACTTGCAGCTGGAAACAACGTCTGCACTCATTTCACATCCATCATAGCCTCAGCGATCAGTTCATTGGCAGATTTGTTGGCATCAATTGAACATAATTCGAGGCAAACTCAAGTCCACGTGGAAAGTATACGTATATATCATATGGCCATGGAATCCAATGTCTTGGGGCCATGAATGACATCACGTTGGCCGATGCAGTCCAGCTGCTGAAGTAGTGTCCAGGCCAAAGGGTAGAAGCACGCGCGGAAGCGCACGTCTCACCCACCCAACACCAGGACAAACAGCACCACATGGCATAGGAACTGAGGCTGGGATACAGTTTCTCGCATTCTTGGGAATCCCATGGCATGCAAGATGTGCCATAGTCAGCGTAGGTGGTGGAATTCAGTCCCAGTGCATCCCAATCCATCACTGATGAGGGAACCTTCTCAGTGAGACAAGTGCAATCCCCCGCGGGTGTATTGTTACTTTGTGGTCGGTAAGGGCACTGCAAGGTGAGCGCAGTGTCATCTGGACAGGCATTATCCGACCAGTAGAGGATGCCCGTCATGCCGTCGTTCAAGGAATCTTTGGCACTGGGACATGACTTGTCCACATAGCACCAGTTGGAACAGCACCAAGAGTCCACCTGATCTGCTCGGTAGTTGGTGGCGCAATTCTGCATGTCCCAGGCGCTACAAGACTCGCCATAGCTCAGAGAAAACTTGTTCCTCATGGCGCTGCTGAACAAGGCTCCTTTATTTAAACATTTGCATGGATCATTTGCTTGAGCCACTGCCGTCCATTGGCACGTGGATGGAGCAGGTGTTGTTACCGCGTTGCAGGCGGCATAGCCTCAGCACCAAAGGGACCAAAACCCTGTCCATCTTACATAAGTTACATAAGTAGCATCACAGATATTGAAAACCCTGCTTCATAATCTCCATATTCATGTCTATTTATGTTTAGTTGTATCACTACATATTTATGATGCATTTTGGACTTGGTGGTCAGACATCGTTCCCTTTCCCGCAATAAAAATTCGTTTCTGCAGGCTGCATCTGGCTGAACCATCCAGTTGGTCATAAAGGGTGAATCAAGGTGTTTGAAGGCCACATCATGCCACACCCAAGGCAAAAAACATCCAAAAACATCTTGTGGTATGGTGAACAACAAAGCCTTCCACCCATGGCACACAAATAGGGTTGCAAAATGTATCTGAATCATTTTGAATCGAGTGTCTAAAGAATTGCCCCGGGATGGCTTGACTTGAATAGGCATCTGGGCAATCTGAGGAAGCATAGCACCATGGGCGGCAGCACCATGCACCCACTGTCAAGTTCACCCAAAGATCGCCACAGTTAGTCCTGGGCTCAGGGTGTACACGGCTCAAGAAGAAGCAAAAGATTCAGAAGATCTCTCTTTCTGAACTACAATGGCATCACAACATCTCATTCAAATCAGTTGATGTAGGATGGCGTCTTGAGTGAAGTCAACTCAGAAGGCATGAAACAATCTCCTCAAAATATATATAAAGAGACCGGCTTGAACAAAGAAAGTTGATTTTAGCAACCAAAAAAAATGATTACACACAGAATAAACAAAACCATAATCAAAAACATATTCACACAATATAGACACATAGTCAAACAAGATTTTGTTAATCGCAATATCTAAAGTTCTAACAAAAATGCCTGGGTCCATACATCGCAGTTTTTTCATGTTATTTCATCAGAATCAGATTCATCAAGCTGCTCATCCCATGCACTGCAAGATGTCCCGTAGCCAGTGCCATAGGTGGATGCAACTGCCGTTGGGATGGTTGGATTTGTGCCTCAGCGTGGGGTCCAAATGGGTCGCAGAATGTCCCACCATTTCCGTGCTTCGATTCCGTGATTGAGTTCCCTGTGACCATAACTTGTCAGAGTTGTCAGAGTCAGAATGGTAGCATACTGCGTTAAGCAATCAAATCATCTACATTCTGTGCCTGTGCAAATTGCTTATCACCTTTTACTTTAGCTGGCGTGAGGAAATCTCCACTTCGAGTAGTGGTGACTACAACTTTCACTGCAAAAGCAGCGGTAGGTTCGTTCCTGTGCCGGCTTGGGGCAGCCAAACTAAGATTGAATCTCTAGAAATTGTACTACGGAAAGCTTTGTCAGCTGATTCACTGCATGTGCTAGCAACCGGTACAAGTGTTGACAACATGACAGGCAGGGATTGTGCATTTCAGAGCCTGATCCTGAAATTGCTCATATTGTCAAGTCTGTCAATGGATCTAGCCAGCAGAGAAGACAGCCAAGCGACAAGTGCAGGTGTTTGGAACAGTAGTGGCCACTGCTGCAAGATTGACCGTAGTTGAAGGCACCTTGTTCATGATCTGTGGCGGACCGACTTGCTTTGTGGAATTCGTTTCCACCAACGAAATGTTTTCGCACACAAACACAATAAAACCTTGAAGTATTTGCCAAAGTACGTTAGCCTGTTACCAGCACAGTGCATTCCCAAGCCCAGCTACTCACACAAATCCACCGTCACTGTTCTTGACCCTGAGGCAAAATGTCATGTTTGCATACAAGGAACAACCGAAGCACCATTCGCATCTTCAATCTTGAACGTGATACTCACCGCCTTGTTGCTAGTTCGCATGAAACTTACCTCAGATTATTTGTTTTGCCGCTTGAAGGTTGGCTGCGATTGGCAACCGGGCCACTGGCAAGGATTCACTGGCATGAAAACCAAAAGCGGAGGCAGCACACACAAGAGAGGCTTTGGAAAAATTTTCTGACCTGAATGTGATGTTTCCAGACAATAGCATTTTTCCATAAAGTCACCAGTTGGTTTATTTGATAGCTCTTGGAACAAGCGTTCTCCAGTGAATTCGAAGCAACCACTAGCCTTTTAGCTCGTCAACACTATTCTCCATGACCATCCCGCAAAATCAATTAATGGATGTTAATGGATCATTCGACTATATATTTTTGAATTTATAATACATATTGCAAACATATATGCAGCATATATATATACATATATTATATATATATATGCTACTGATCAATACTTCCATTAGTACCATGTAGTGCCATGGTCCATGTCTCAGGTCGCGTTCCACCCGTTCTGCAATGGCCAGGTGCAATATGCGGAGCGTCCACGACCATTGCCTCAGGAAAGGCTGTTCTTTTCTACTGTGGTCATATGAAAATTCAATAAAAATCAAGCGTCTTAATCCACTTCCTGATGGAATTGTTCATTCTGAACGCCTAAGTGTTGCTTTATACGTTGGAAACATTTTGAAACCAAGGTGGTTCAAAACGGACAGAACATGTCAATGTGTATCTTGTGCTTGTTGAAGGAAAGTATGGGGGAGAAAGTACTTGTATCATCTGGATTCCAGCAGAAACATGGCACCAACTTGTTTGTGCATGCTTCAACCCCCTTTGAGGTAGAAAAAAATAGGTGGGTGCAACGGTGCAACCCCATATTGTCATTTTGGCGATGATTCTTATTGTAGACAGGTGGCACTGGTGTAATTGATGCCCACATTGTACTCTGGAAAGGCCGGCGCGGTGGAACTGACCGTGGGCTTGGGGCAAACCACTTGTGCGATGTCCACTAAGTGCCACGTCTCATATGCGGCTGTCATTGGCAGCCACAGCAACTGCGTCAGGTACCGAACGAGCCTTAGATTCAATTTCAAGGTCTTGGTGATGCAGTGCATAACCGGCACCACTGGGTGCAGAACTTGTACCGTGCTCTACGTCATAGTTTCCACCAGTCTGAAGAGTTGGATCATGTTAATCTCAAACGTATGAAACACGATGATTTGACGAGTTTCCCAAATCACAAAGGATTTCAAGACTTGATATTGCAGCAAGGCAGCATCGTTGGTAACGTTGGTACCACAGTTCTATACAGTTCTGCACTATGATCCCCGGAGCCAAGATAGCGCTGTGTTGCCGCAGGTGTTTTTTTTTGCAGAAGGTCTGAAGATGAGCTGCATAATTATATGAGCAAGTGCGCATAGAAAGAAAGGACTCACTTGCAGAAACAATAGCAACAAAATGACAGTGAGACGGAGAAAAACATGCAGGTTCCAGCAAGACATCACGAGACATGATTTCAACACCACAACACTGCGGAACACTGCGCACACCGAATCTATCCAAAACTCCTGTCTGGTGTCACCACCGAGCGACTGCATACCTGACAGAGGATTCAAGGTCGAATCACCAAATGCACATAATATGTATAATGTCTCTGCACACATGTCATGTACTGTGAAGCATCCGTTCCAAATTATTCCAAGCCTTTCAAGTCTGACGAAAATCCGTAGCGCTTTTTTTTTCCCAGCTGTTTCATTTACCAGCAGCCTGCTTCTTTATCTCCCAATCTGCCAATCATTTTGGGCTAGTAGCGGCTAGTCTGAAGAATTGGCAAAGTCAATGACCTCCTTGATGCTAGGAGACCGCGACAACCACTCTTTGACCTTCTTCGTTTTAGGATCCTTCTCGCCTGCCAACAAACGTTTGGTGTTGTACAAGGTCTTGCACCACTTCTTAACCTCTTGTCCACCAAAGCCAACATGAGCCTGCAGAAGGTCCAAAGCAATCTGTACCTCTACCAGCAGGTGTGGCAAAATCTTTTCCTTTCTATACAAGCTGTCCATTTCTTCCACAATTCGCTTCACCATAGCCAATGATGATGCTGCGTTCAATCGGGTATTCAGCTCATGGAGCCTCTGCCGCCGCTGATTGGATTCAAACTTCCACTCCAGCAATGCCATTTTATCTGGTCCAACCAGTGCTGCCATATCCGCATCCGACATGTTGCCGTCATCTGTGGATCGCACTAGGTCCTGCACCTCTTTCAATCCAGCAGGTTGACAGACCTCGCATTGACACTGAAATCCCCAATTCATCATAGTGCGCTTCTGTCGCATATCTGAAGTCATAAAGTAGCCATTGAAGTAGGATACGCAAATCCTTGGATTTCTCTGAGAAATCTGCAGAAATCAGGAAAAAGAATCAACAGTCATCCAGTCATCCCTATATAATCTATCTACAGGTTTCCGATATCAGGAAGATTTATATGTCGAAATCAGCTTTTCAAAGCCCAAGAATCTCCTCACCAGGTTTTTCATATCTCTCATGGCCTGCACAACTTGTAACTTCTTCTCGGGATGTCCGCGGTAGCCAGCGTTGGGGCGCTGTGGTTGAATCTGCTGATCAGTGGAAATAAACCCAAGGAGTTTGAATTTCCTACTGGGAGGCCATTGGTCTGGAAGATTCCTTCTGCACTCTTGTACCCTGGATCTTGTATTTCTGGAATGGATGTTGACGGAACTGAAGACCGTGTGTAGAGTTTTTCCCAGGGTGACTTGATACTACCATCTGCATACCCTCTATCCACGATTGCACGTGCCAGCTTGTTGTTGGTCTGGGAGTCCTCGAGGGAAAGCACCTAAGCAGGGTTCAAGACCATTCAAAATCCAGGTTTCAGCGTTGGTGGAAGATCTGTCATGTCATGCTGGACTTTTATTTAGAATATATGCGTTTGCGAAAGAAAACTACGACTGCATAGTAGTCAGAATCCAATCCATAGTAGTAGTTGGTTGTTTCGTTGCTGCTCTAAAATCTATAGCATGGGACTCAAAAAAGTGATCTCCTCAAAGCAAATCATTTAGGCCACCTGCAATGAGTTCAGGGTGGGATCATGGTATCCAAAGAGAAGCTCCGCTTTTGATTTCCCTCACCTTGGCTTGATCCTTCTCAGAAAGCTGCTGAAATTTCTCTTTGACAAGAGCATGTCTTCGATCAACTTTTGCTGTCATGGGGGAAGACCAAATGTCTGAGACACCAAGCTCCTTTTCATCAATGTACATGAGAGGCTGGTCCTGCACAATGATCTCACCGGCCGGGATGAAGGTTTTTGCAACCACGCCAGCACCCTTCCCATCTATCAGCGGAACAAATTGACAAAGGTGCTGTTCCGCAAACATCTCAGCAGGATCAAATGGATCAAAGCTCTTCCCGAGAACATCAGGTTGTTGGCAGATGTTCTTGCAACAAGATGTCTTGTGGGTCTTCCAGTCCGCTCGCTGACACTCAACGCTGCAGTAGCAACGATCTTTGCATCTACCACACAACTTCACACCACCAATCCCGCACACCGCACAGCTTCTCGACATTATGCTGGATGTAGAATGCAGCTAAGTTGAATGAAAATTGACAACACAAAGCAAAACCAAAGAACCATTCATATAGTAATGTCATAGGAGAGCATTAGTAACATCACTGGACCATGCATTCTTCACAGCAGGGTACAGTATCCTTTGATTTGCTTTCGTTTCCTTTGGTTTCCTTTGGTTTCCTTTGATGTTCTTTGTTTTTCTTTGGTTTTGGGCTGGGTGGATTCTACAGTTTTCCTTTGATTTCCTTTGGTTTTGTTTGGTTTCCAAGGGAGAAACAAAGGAACAGAAAATCCAAGGAAAAGACAGACCAACCAAGGAAAGATTCAGGAGGCTATAAGCTCACAGAATGCATCAATCATGCCTGTTACTAAGACTTTCCTTAGATAATTATGTTCTATCTTATGTGCAGGTCAGTTTTTCCATTCTCAGCTCCATCTCCGTCTCATGACATATTGACTTTTGGTTGTGGAGCTACCCCAAGGTTTCTAATGTATAGGCCATGCAAATCTTTTCCCAGAAGCAGTTGCTCACTACCGCAAATTCTCGGTGTCAACTGCTGACATGGGCCATTCAATGGCGACGATTGATATGTTCAAAAACTCTGGGCAATTCTGGGCGGAACCAGCACACCGCTTTGCATCATCCTAGCAAGATAGTCCCCGAGTAGGAGAAATGGATCAATATATATGGACCAATGACAAACTCAACATTCACTGCAGTTTTTAAACACTTCTGACGGATGTAATTAGTGTGCCACAACTTAGTGCCGACATGTCTGCAAACACTGCTAACTGCTCTCCATCCAAAAAAAATAGAGAGACACTCTGTCAGACTGGCCCCCTCTTAGAATCTGATTGCTTCGTCAGCAATCCTTTTTGTATCTTTTTGCGCACATGTCGGAACTGAGCACAACTTAGCGTGCGCAGTCCCAACGAAAATGCAGCTGAATTGCCAGTGGGAAAAGGTCATTTGTGTTTCCCTTCAAACAGCACAGCTGCCTTTGCACGTGCGGAGGCAACGACCGACCAAGCTGCTCAGCAGAATCAAGTCATGCCAAGACATGTCTTCAAGACAACTTTCTCGTTGAGATTCTGTATACCATGTGGATTTGACTTTTCTATATCTTTGTGGGGATTGCTATACATATCTATACATCAATCATCATTGTATAAAGCTGATAGATCAGGTCACTTTGCCAGTAGCCCAGAGGCCTAAAACATGTGAGACAAGATGTACATGACCAGCAGCGCTGCCATTGACTCGGGCATGGCAATGGTTCCGTGTACTCCGCGGCCAGCGTTTACTGATGCCTGGTCAGGTACACAAATCTGTCCATTCCAGCAGAATCCTTGGTGCAGCTTGGGAGATCTTGGTCTTCCTCTTGTGACCCTGGTTCCGCTGGGCACATCAAGGGAACATCATGATCATCATGATTACATAGTGTTTCATCAACGTTGATATCCATTTGTACTCTGTGTTTCAAGATTTTCAAGTAATGACTCATATGACCAGTATGTTAATGGTCATGATGGCTTGCCAACCTTGTGGCCTGTGAACGTTGCCTCAACTTGGGAATGTATGAACGACTCATCCTTCTTTTTCAGAGTGCAGAATCTTGAAGCGGCCCGTTACACATAGATACACCATGTTCATTGAGAATCATTGATGCTACATAATATACATGTATATATATACACATTAATATCCAGCAGAGCTTGCTATTCTCTCAGCAACAAAATTGAACATCAGCCAGGATTGTCAGGACCATCCACACCCGATATCAACACCATTTTCCGATTTCTCTGCTGTCTATCAAGCCTGTGTACTTAACAAGGATTGTTGGGGGATGGGGCGTTCTATGCTTTGCCAAGCATCCACTCTGACATAGACAAGTGCCACTGAGGCACAACGAATTTCCAATGTTACAGCGATTATCGGCTGTGCATTTGACTCCGGTGCTTGGTTGGCAACTTGATGTTGACGCTAAAACGTCTTGCTTCGAGAGCACCTCATCACATCAAAGGGGTTGCTTCTCTCCCAATGAACTCTGAATGCTTCACATTGCTTCACATTGCTTCACATTGCTTCACATTGGTTCACATCCTTCCATGGAGTCGACATGCCCCTCGAAGGACTTAAGCTACCACTAAAATTACTGTACTACTATACAAGCAGCATCAAGTAGCTACAAGTACTCCATGCAAAAAAAAATACTCGCCAGTCTGTCGTAGCCAGTGGCTGCCATCACTCACATCCCTTCGTCCGTGGTCTGACTCAAAAGGAACCTGTCAGCGATGAGAAACCCGATCAACCCGATCAGTTCGGGCCAAGATGGGCCAAGACACCAAGAACAGCTCTGGTTTAAAGGACATGGTTCGATTGAACGCCTCTGCCAATTCAACCTCTGCCTGACAGGGTGAGTGGGAAGTCGGGAAGGCCCAGCCCTTGGACTTAAAGCAACAAAAAATGCGGAGCCACGAAATGCCACGAATCATCGAGAAAACAGTCCATCCCTCTCCTTCACCCTGCCTTCGTGGTAGGAGGGCAAATGGAAGCTGTGTCTATTCCTGCGAAATCTTGAAACTGCATTTAAACATGGAATATTTGGACGCCAGTTTCACAGAGTATCCGCAACCTCCCAAGCTGCGAACATGATTTTCTATTTCCAATCCATGGTACCTCTGAAAGAAGATGCTGAGAATTGATCAGAATTGCCCGTGCAGGAGGTAAAAGACAAGACAGGAATATCCAACGGGTGAGAAACCATCAAACGCCGAAAGTCCTGCTCCCGTAATGCTGGTGAAGCTCACTCGCAAAGGCGGCGCAAAGGCCTATCAGCAGGACATCGCCAGCACAGATAGTTCGGTTGCGGATGTTGCTGGCACTGTACAACGATATCTATAAAATACGGCTTCCTTGGTATCGATTGTACTATAAGACTGATCTTGGTGAGATCAGAATGCTTTGACTATGAAATGTGTTAGCTGGTTGTTTGGGCAAAACAGGTAATGGTATGCAAATGTTTGAGACACCACAGGATTCTATGCAACATGCATGTTCTATCCGATTCTATCAGATACACAGAAATCATGATTGAGCACTATGCAAGACTCAACAATGCTAACCTGAAACCTGTGCAGAATTGATAGGAACAAGCTATCTCGCCCTGAGGAATCCGAGGCCAATTGCGGCTTCATTGGCTGCAAGGCCTTGGGAATGAAGCCAGTCGCCGCCAGCTCATCTCCTGGGTTCATGGGCATCAACATGAACGCAAAGTGGCAACATGTGATAACATGTGGCATGCCCAACATCAGCAACAAACCATGGTTTACCATGGTTTACCTCTAACAAAAGAACATTGTCAACATTGTCTCCAAGTTTCGACTAAAGCTTTGTGGTGTGGTATATCGACAGCCACCAGAAGTTTGGCAAGAATTGGCTGACGGGCACTGGGCATAGCCTCAAAACTGACTCAGGCCATCACAGATCGCCTGGTGCAACTTCTGGAAGGAACGATTTGTGTGTTGTTGATGAGACACTATTTGCACATATATATATATGCATATATATATATTACATCAAATGATCATCTTTGTACATATCAAGCATGTTCACCCACATATCAGGCAAACATGTCTGATTCTGCTTGCGGTTTGTGCTCAGTCAGGGGCCATAGATTCGATAGCACTGCTCACATGCCATGAATGCACCGTTGCGATCTCCAGCCGCTGTAACGATGCAAAAACTCTGGCTTCGGAAGTCTCCATAGCGGCGTCGGCGGTGAATCTCCCACGAGTCACCGTACATGTTGTTGTAAGCGTACCTGGGAGCCCGTTGCTGGGGCATCAAGGGGATTAAGAAGCTGAACAATCTTATGAATATATATGAATATATCGCTTGTAATAAAAGCCCGGTACTTCTTTATTACATCATGTCAATGTTTAAATTAACATGCGAGTAACCAGTACTTCCCACCTCCGGCAACAAGAAGCAAGACATTGAGTTCACTTCTCCAAAAACATTGGTTGGGCCAATCTCAAATTCGGGTCCAATATATATTATATATATAATTATATAATAATAATAATACCATATTATGGCCTGCATGAATACCCAATCATTCATGTAAGAGCTTTGTTAACACCTCAGAGGTTTATGAACCAATCCAGTTCAATGTCAACGCCACACGAATAAGCCCCTGGTTCATCAACATGGGGGTACCAGCTACAATTGGAATTATCACTTCATGCTGGGGACCCCTTTCTTGATGAACTGAGGCTTTACTATTCCTGGGTTGGGTTGATATTGATCCTGCCCCTACAAAGATAAATACCCCCAATCAGGGACCCCAAATGAATAAACCTAAAATTCAACAACCCTTGCGATTGGAGCTATTTGGTGGAAACCTTTTTTTGGGGGAATGATGTTCGATGTTTTTAGGGGTTCTGATATACCACGAGAGTTTCTTGATACCCCTGCTTTAGTTTCCGAGTGATCTTCTGAAAGCTGAAATGAGCGCTAAGCAATGCTGAGTTTCATTGCTCCAGCACCCACCACTGCACCAGCAACTGCTCCTCCAGCAGCATACATAGCGACATTCACCGGTTTCTGTGCAGGGACTGCGTTGTAGCCTCGCCATGGGGATGAACTGAAACAAACCCAGTAACCCAATCCGTTGACATCGAAAACGTTTTATGGCTCCACTGGCCTCATCATAGGAAATGATAATTGAAATCTACTTGTATAGCTAGTTACAGAACCCTCGCTTGCAATAGAAATCTTAGAGACTCAGCACGGAAAGTGAAAAAATATATACAAATGTCCTTCATCTCAACGTGCAATTCCCATACCACAGTCGACAGTGAGCAAACCAACTCCCAGCACACACACCAGACAAACTTGCTATTAAAAGCTTTGCACGCACTATATTATATATATAATATAATATATATTAATAATCAAACAATAAAGACTGTTTAGACGGCCTTTTTGTTTCTCGAGGGGTGGCCCTCTTTGTTTCAATTGCGGTCCTTTAGAAAGTCAATAGAGACAATCACCATAAAAATGAGGCCCCATCCCCTGAAGAATGTAGGCTAGTTTGATGGTGCTTTATTTTAGTAAGGTAAACCAAACTGTTGTTTCCAAAATCTAAGCTACAGAGGAGGGGTCGTTTAACATCGTTACTCTTAGGGATCCCCTTCCCAAGGCTAGTTTTAGCAAGAGTGTCTATGAGTTTACCAGTAGTACCCGCACGAGGCGGGGCGGAAGTTGCCTTAAAGATATATATAAGACCTTTCTCATCTATAGAACTTGCATGCGCCACGCGCCAGCCAAGCCCGTGCGTGCGTGCACTCTGCGAAACTGGTGTCTTGTTTCACATGTCACATTTGAAGCTCCACTTCACACTTCACACTTGACAGTCTTCACACTCCACACTACACACTTCACACTGCACTCTTCACACTGCACCCTTCGCAGTCAACACTTCACACTTCACAGTCCACACTTCACACTTCAAACTCCACACTTCACACTTCACACTCCACACTTCACACTTCACACTCCACACTTCACACTTCACACTCCACACTTCACACTGCACTCTTCTTGCCCCACACTTCACACTGCACCCTTCATCTCATCTGAGCTCTTCTCACCTTATCCCAGCTCATCTCTTCTCATCTCATCTCTTCTCATATGTCAGCAAAGCTTTCATGAATCACTTCCCAGTACTACTACTAAGGAACTTGCATGCGCCGTGCGCCAGCCATGCCCGTGCGTGCGTGCTTTGTGCGAAACTGGTGTCTTGTTTCACATGTCACATTTTTGAAGCTCCACTTCGCACTTCGCACTTGACAGTCTTCACACTCCACACTACACACTTCACACTGCACTCTTCACACTGCACTCTTCGCACTTCACACTCCACACTCTTCGCACTTCACACTGCACTCTTCGCACTCCACACTTCACACTACACACTGCACACTTCACAGTCCACACTTCACACTGCACTCTTCGCACTCCAAACGTCACACTTCACAGTCCACACTTCACATTTCACAGTCCACACTTCACACTTCTCACTGCTTCCTTCACACTCCAAACTTCACACTGCATTCTTCACGCCCCACACTTCACACTGCACTCTTCACACTGCACCCTTCATCTCATCTGAGCTCTTCTCACCTTATCCCAGCTCATCTCTTCTCATCTCATCTCTTCTCATATGTCAGCAAAGCTTTCATGAATCACTTCCCAGTACTACTACTAAGGAACTTGCATGCGCCGTGCGCAAGCCATGCCCGTGCGTGCGTGCTTTGTGCAAAGCTGTTGCAATGTTGTTGTCCAAGAACATGACCTGCGCGCGTCCCCGGTGCAATGCAACGTCAAGCAAGCACTTTCCTCACACATCACACTGCACCCTTCACACTTCACATCTGAGCTCTTTTCATCTGGTTTCATGTCTTCCCATATGTCAGCTACGTTCTTCTTGGCTATTTTCATGTCATCTGACCGCAGCTCAAACTTTCTCATGCGTTGGACCTACTTTCAACTTATCTCGGCGCTTCTGCGCGTCAGCAAGGTTGAGCGTAACTCATGTCGATTCTTCTACATGCCAAAAGGCATAGACCATAAAATATTTACAATATTGAGGTCTTTAATGCCAAGCGTTGATGCATTGCATCAAATCGCAACGGCAAGTGTAAACATGGTGTAGTTGTTACCTGTCAAGGAGATTCACGCAGTCCAAGGTCAACAGCTGCTTTTTTCTCTGCGCTACACTTGGTCGTCTAGGCTTTTGGCAGCTTTTTCGGCCCGCACTGGCACGAAAGGCTGGAGAGCTTGTCACGTTGGAAGCCTGGCTGGCCGTCATGGCACTTCACGAAGCAAATCAGGCAAGAAGTTCTCACTATCTGCAATGACATTGCGGACCCAAGCTGCATCTGCTTGCGACAAACGACATCCCGCACCTGCTCGGTAAGCAGTCAACAACATGGCCGCAGCGTGCACACCATCATCTGTCAGGGCATTGCAGCGTTGTTCTGCCAAGGTATCGTCTTGTTCCGTGCAAGCACCTTTTTAAAAGGATTTTTAAAAGAAAAAATGCTATACCAAAATTGCGAAAATCTCATGACAAATCACTATCGCAGCCTGGATGCAGCCACTCCAATACGATTTACGATGTTCAGTTGCAAAAGACAATAGTATTACGCACTGGGTTGCAAAACACAATAGAACTATGCGCAACAGTATCGGAAATTGCACCTCCAAAACCGGATGGATCTCGACGCCAAAGCAGAAAAAAACGATTTTGAAGCATTTTTTAAAAGGATTTTTAAAAAGAAAATTACTACCGTGAAAATTGCGAGAATCTACTCGCAAATCACTATCGCAGCCTGGATGCAGCCATTCCAATACGATTTACGATGTTCAGCTGCAAAAGACAATAGTATTACGCATGCAGCCGCGGCAACGAGCAACGTTGAGCACACAAGGTGTCGTGCTCCGGCTTTCTCCCCAAAACATAGCCCATGCAACATTCATGCAGCCATTTTAATGCGATCTGCAACCACAGCTTCAGGAAACGCATAGAACTACGCACACAGGAACAACCACTTGCTGCAAAACACATAGAAGGAACCAATCGCGTCCGGAACGACCGCAGCCGCACCCGTCGCACACACGAGGTCCCTTTCATCGTCGCCTGCAGCCACTTTACACAGAAAAACACAAGGTTTCGTGCTCCGGCTTCCTCCCCAAAACATAGCCCATGCAACATTCATGCAGCCATTCCAATGCGATCTGCAACCACAGCTTCAGGAAACGCATAGAACTACACCACAGGAACAACCACTTGTTGCAAAACACATAGAAGGAACCAATCGCGTCCGGAACGACCGCAGCCGCCCCGTCGCACACACGAGGTACCTTTCATCGTCGCCTGCAGCCACTTTACACGGAAAAACACAAGGTTTCGTGCTCCGGCTTCCTCCCCAAAACATAGCCCATGCAACATTCATGCAGCCATTACAATGCGATCTGCAACCACAGCTTCAGGAAACGCATAGAACTACGCACACAGGAACAACCACTTGTTGCAAAACACATAGAAGGAACCAATCGCGTCCGGAACGACCGCAGCCGCACCCGTCGCACACACGAGGTACCTTTCATCGTCGCCTGCAGCCACTTTACACGGAAAAACACAAGGTTTCGTGCTCCGGCTTCCTCCCCAAAACATAGCCCATGCAACATTCATGCAGCCATTACAATGCGATCTGCAACCACAGCTTCAGGAAACGCATAGAACTACACCACAGGAACAACCACTTGTTGCAAAACACATAGAAGGAACCAATCGCGTCCGGAACGACCGCAGCCGCACCCGTCGCACACACGAGGTACCTTTCATCGTCGCCTGCAGCCACTTTACACGGAAAAACACAAGGTTTCGTGCTCCGGCTTCCTCCCCAAAACATAGCCCATGCAACATTCATGCAGCCATTCCAATGCGATCTGCAACCACAGCTTCAGGAAACGCATAGAACTACGCACACAGGAACAACCACTTGTTGCAAAACACATAGAAGGAACCAATCGCGTCCGGAACGACCGCAGCCGCACCCGTCGCACACACGAGGTACCTTTCATCGTCGCCTGCAGCCACTTTACACGGAAAAACACAAGGTTTCGTGCTCCGGCTTCCTCCCCACAACATAGCCCATGCAACATTCATGCAGCCATTACATTCCTGCCTCACCACTTCCCTTCCTCACCACTTCCCTTCCTAACCACTTCCCATCGTCACCGCTTCCCATCGTCACCACTTCCCTTCGTCACCACTTCCCTTCGTCACCACTTCCCTTCCTCACCACTTCCCATCGTCACCACTTCCCGTCATCACCACTTCCTTTCCTCACCAATTCCCATCGCCCCCACGTCCCTTCCTCACCACTCCTCTTCATCACCACTTCCCTTCGTGACCACTTCCCTTCCTCGCCACTTCCCATTGTAACCACATCCCTTCGTCACCACCCTGTGTCATAGCTTCTTATTCTTTTGTTATGTATTGTTATGTTATGTATTGTTATGTGATCTACCACCCTTCATCAAGGTCAACTGCATAGCTTCTTATTCTTTTGTTGTGTATTGTTATGTGATCTACCACCCTTCATCAAGGTCAACTGCATAGCTTCTTATTCTTTTGTTGTGTATTGTTTTGTTCTGTATTGTTATGTGATCTACCACCCTTCATCAAGGTCAACTGCATAGCTTCTTATCCTTTTGTTATGTATTGCTTTGTGATCTACCACCCTTCATCAAGGTCAACTGCATAGCTTCTTATTCTTTTGTTATGTATTGTTAGATCACGCACCACCCTTCATCATAGTCAATTCCATCAAGTAAAAGTCATTCGTAACTCGGAAGTATTGCTTCCCAACTTCCTTTGATAACGAATTTAATACATTATATCAAAATATATATTGTATATTATATCAAACTACATCAATGTGTATTTATAAAGAGAGAGAGAGAGAGCAGCGGTTGCCAAAATATAGGTGCGGAGGAAAGAGGATTTCTAAGAAACTACATAAGTGCATATATAATTAAGGATTCAAGAATCGGTGACTCTAATTATATATATATATATATATATGTTTGATGATTTCCCTGTCGAATTCTAAGTCCCGAGTATCCCGAATAATATGACCTCTTCTTATAATATCTTACAATAAAAAAGGGCTCTCTATCTGGGGCAGGGTGAGGTTCAACAAAAGGGAGAAGAGATTGAAATCTCAATCACGCGACTTGCGCATGCACTCAAGCTACAAACATGTGGCAAATCCAAGGGCGGTGAATCCAAAACAGAACAAATGATATACGATGCAGATCCATGCAGTTTACAGCCAGTGGTCAGGCATTGATCGATCTTGGCAGTTCACACCGTTGGCGAATTATCCGGCAAAAAATTAATGCGGGACAAAGGGAAGACAAGGGAAGTCTGAAGTCGGAAGCTGAGCTCTCATGCCTACACCACCGACACCACCGAGCCTGAATATCCATAGGGAGTCTGCTGTGGCATGGTGCCTCCATAGTTGTTCATCATCTGTGGCCGGTTCGCGTAGCCGTACGGTTGCTCAGGGATTGTTCTGCGCCGTCGTAGATCAGCATCACCTGAAGTAACTGGATTTGACAATTTGACGACATTCATCTCTTGCTTGATCACTGTATGACAAGCATCAAGACGATGCCTCTGGTGACTCTGGTGTATGATGTGTATCAACTCACTGACATACTGTCAACGGACCTTGCTCTTTGATGCAAGTTACCTGGGAAACGCCTGCGAGACTGCGTGGCATACGATTGTCCACTGATGCTCGTTGTTCGTCGCCGTGTTTCAATGGGTGAAGGCACTGGTGGTGGTGGTGCCCTTCGCCGCACATCTGGTGGCGGTGGTGACGGGGCCCTTCGCCGAGCAGAGTATGACGTGGGCGCCGACCAAGATCGACGCCGTGGATATGACGCGGTAGCAGCAGGAGCACGCCGCCGTGGCGATGAATATGAGCTCCAGCCCCCTCCACCCCCACGACGACGTGCGGAAAGACGTCGTGTTGCATCACAGGTGTCGGCAGCCATGTTGTAGGTGGTTGCCTCATCATCACCTAAGCAAGGTGGGATCATCAACCATGCGTGCAGATGCTGGCCACTAGGAAGTCTCAGCTCCACTGATGCTTTCAGTGCAAAAATGTGGTAAGTCTTCCATTGTGGAGGTGCGCTTCAGTGCAGTCTGTTTGTGTCATGACGTGTCGTGGAAATGACCTTGCCCTTTATTTGAATGTCTTGCCCATCCCGCTTCCAATGGATCACCCCTTGACTCCAAGTTGCAGGTCTCGTAGCTAAAGTAGTAACCTGTGCCGAGCCAGGACTGCTTTGCGATGGGGCAGCTGCTGTTGACGTAGCACCAGGAATCACAACACCACTCCTTGGATCTGCTTCACACCGGTCTCTTCAACTTGCCATTCATCAGGGTCTACATGGGTCTACTTACAGTTACTGTAAGTAGTGTCTCAAACTTCAAGCAACACGGGTGGTTTGGATTTTGCGAAGAGGCGGAGAGGAATCGTCTTCAGATCATGGTAACATCTTATAATATCTTACAAACTTTTCAGGTCGTTACGTACTTTGAGTTGCAAGCAATTTGCAGCCAAAATTCATTGTCAGCAGAGGTGGCACCCCAATTGGGGTCACTTCCCCACACCGTCTGGCAACCTGTTTTGTCCCAAGCTGCGCAGCTGCTGCCATAATCTGCTGCAAAGTTCCCCTTTCCATCAAAGGTACCAGCTGGGAGTTGGCCTCGACATTCACAAAGTGACTCCCACTTGCAGCCTGAGACGGCTTCTGCATTTAACTCGCATTTCTCCTGACTCCAATAATAACCTTGCCATACCGTCGAAGCACGTGCAGTTGGGCAAGTTGCAGAGACCCAACACCAGGATGTGCAACACCACATTGCATGGTCTGCACCAGGGTAAGTTTTGTCGCAAACATCTGCGTCGTGTGGACCGCACTGACGGCCGTAATCTGCATAAGTCGTCAGATCAAGACCGAGGCTTGTGATCAGTTCACTCGGCATGGTGGCGTCTAAACAATCACAAGAAGTGTCAGAGGCAGAGACGTTCGGTTGCGGTTGATATGGGCACTGCAACATTAAGGCAGGGTCATCCACGCAAACGTTGTCTGACCAATACAAGACGCCTTCCATTCCCGGATTCAGGGATGCAACGGCACTTGGGCATTCTTTGTCGACATAGCACCAGTTTGCGCAACACCAAGTATCGACCTACAGGCGTACCGCGTTCAAGAGCAAAGAAACGCTGTTCAACGATGTTTAACATAGAACAAAACTATGTTCAAGTTAGGACCTGGAAGAACCTGAAAGAACCTTGGTGAGTTGACAGTCCTGATATTCTGTTTTATAGGCACACCTGGTCTGGTCGATAGTTGGTAGCGCAATTGGCCATATCCCAAGCCCCACAGGTTGAGCCGTAGCTGTCAGAAAATTTCCTTGAAGCAAAGGCCGAGGGTTGTTGACTGGTTGACTCCATGAATGTGAAGCACAATGAATCAGAAGTGCAGTGAAGTGCAGGTAGTCATGAGATTTGGAATATCAAAATTTTTATTGCATCCTCGATGATGTACTTGATGAGATTGTTAAACGAATGGACCCTGAATGAAATTACCCACAGGATTGGTACAGTTGCTAGAAAACAGGGGGAGCAACAGTAGAAGCAGGTTGTTTGCATCCTGTCCAACCAGCAAGAACGGGCTCGCCAAGGTTCGCTTTCATCGCAGCATTGAAGATGCCGCTCTTGTCTTTGCCTTTGCTTGCGTCCCAACAGCTTAAATGCTGCAGGCTGAGGCAAGCTGGTTGTGCGTAAAATACTTTTGACATCGTAGAATCATCATAGAATCATGCAAGTTCTCAGAAGTTTTTGAACGAGTTCCACAAAATAACCAATTGCAGCACATTGGACATCAGAGTGACATCAAGCTCCACACAGCTACACATCTGGGTACAATTTATTCGTATACTAAATCTTTTGCCTACAGCCAGTTCTGTTGGCCGCCCGGCTTCAAGCAGACTTTAAAAAAACATTAAAAAAAAACCTTTGTGATATCTGTGTGTCCTCATGCACTTTCACCTGCTTCAGTTTCCGAATTTTGCAGCTGAAGCGGGTCGCTTTGAAGTCTGAAAGCATGAATTCTGCCCGACTCTGAATGTATGTCTGCAAGCAATCTTTGTGCCCGATGATGCAAAAGTCATTGTTTCCTATAGGCTGAGCCTGTCTTATTGTATATGCCATTGTATGCTTATACAAATGCTGCATTCAATCAATCTATAATATATTATACCAGTAGTACCGCACAAGGCGGTGGCGGAAGTTTCAAAAATATGAAACCTATAGGAGAGGTTGGTTGTTGTGAATCAGGGATGGCAGATCGAAGCCACTGATGGACCGAAAGGTGCTTGAGGTCTCCTGTTTTTCTCTCTCTTTCGCTCTTTTTCTCCCTGTTTCTCTATCTTTCTCTGATTATCTACCTACCTACCTACCTACCTACCGATCTATCTGTCTACCTATCTATCTGTCTGTCTATCTATCTATCTACCTATCTATCTATCTATCTACCTATCTATCTATCTATCTATCTATAGATTTATCTATCTATCTATCTATCTATCTATCTATCTATCTATCTAAAGATCTATCTATCTATCTACCTATCTATCTATCTATCTATCTATAGATCTATAGATCTATCTATCTATCTATCTATCTATTTATCTATCTACCTATCTATCTATCTATCTATCTATAGATCTATAGATAGATCTATCTATCTATCTATCGGTCTATCTGTCTACCTGTCTATCTGTGGTGCAGTGTCATTCAGTGTAATGTAGTGTAGTGTAGTGTAGCGTAATTGAGTGTAATTGAGTGCAATGGAGCGTAGTGGAGTGTAGTGTAGTAGAATGTAGTGAAGGTGTAGTTGTAGTTGTAGTTGTAGTGTAGTGCAATGTATTGGAGTGCAGTGTGGTGTAGTGGTGGTTGTAGTTGAAAAAGATACAAAACCTTCACGTTTTGCTCACTTTTAACAAGGTGCTTAGTCCCTTGCGCCTGGCACGCGAAGCGACATCTGAACCTCCAAAAGTGGTCCAAACCCCTGGTGTTTCGCACCACAACGGCGTGCACTTTTTCGACATCTGAACCTCCAAAAGTGGTCCGGCCCCTAGTGTTTTTAACATTTTGACTTGGAAATGTGCTTCGCGCCACAACGGCGTGCACTTTTTCGAAATCTCAACTTCCAAAAGTGGTCCGAGCATGGTGTGTCTTGTACATTTTGACTTCGAAATGTGCTTCGCGCCACAACGTCGTGCACTTTTTCGACATCTCAACGTCCAAAAGTGGTCCGGCGCTGGTGTGTTTTGTGCATTTTGACTTGGAAATGTGCTTCGCGCCACAACGGCGTGCAATTTTTCGACATCTCAACTTCCAAAAGTGGTCGGACAATGGTGTGTTTTGTACATTTTGACTTGCAAATGTGCTTCGCGCCACAACGGCGTGCAATTTTTCATCTCTCATCTGGCCAGCTGGCTCCGCACCCGCCGCTTTCGCGAGCCTACTTTTCCACCCTCCGGAGCCACAAGTCATAGGAAAAACACAGTGTTTCGCGACTTTCCTACCTTTTCTCGCATCTGCATCTTCTTTCTTCTTACTCTTTCTCTTCTACTCTTCTTTCTTCTAATCTTTCTCTTCTCTCTGCCTCTTCCCTGCTCTGCTTTTCATCTGTCCATATTGTCGGAAGTTTGACTTCTAAACTTCCTTCGATTAGTGTGCGAATATCAATCTAATCGGGATTGACCTACCATTGTGTACATCTACAGTGCAAGATTGGACAAATCATCATTGCATGCTCCTTCCGCACCTCTCCATTGTTGATGGACTGGACCCTTCCCGTCCAAGCCAACAAACGATTCATGATAGCATTATGCCACGGCACATGTGCATGGGTCTTGTTCTTCAGCGACTTGTGTCCACTGGCATGGGTTCACCGCCGCATACGTGTTGCACGCAGCGTAACCTATGCGAGCAGCAGAAATAAAAGAAACTTCTTTATCATACGAGCACGGAGTAGTAGTTGTTTGCACACCTTGATTGCTCAACTCTTGAATTGGCAGGATCATCTGCCAAGTTGTCCAAACACAGGCTGAATAATGAACATCTATTGCAAACCAAATCTTGGCGGACCTGCCCTTTTTCTTCGACTTGAAATTACTATCGGGTGAATCCCGATCCAATTTTCTTTCAGCCAGGAAAAGGCGTTTTTTGTAGTCTGAGCTTGTTCAACAAGAGTCTTTGAATGTTTTTTCCTGAGTTGTCTTTTGCACCGAAAACCGCAAAATCGAAGCTGAATCAAATCTTGCAAAGATTCTGGTGATGGTGGATTTTGCTTCCTGGATTGGGAAGGTGAATGAATTATGTTTTCTGTTAAGTCTTCAAACTGGCTGGAAGGTCATGGCAATGTGCAAAGACTCCCAAACAGCGGCAGCATGGCAGCATCAATCAACAGAAAAATCGATAAAACAGCTGGTGAGAAAACCACAAATAGCAAAAGAATATCAATCTTGGCATATCTTGGCAAAATTTGGCAAATAGCTGACCCATTTTTATCATTTTTGTATGGGAATGGCGGATGTGCAGCATCAATCAGCATCAGCTGATGAATCGAAGCCGAATGTGCGACCAGAGTGGCTGAAGTACTGGCCTGGTATGGCCTGGCTCTGATAAGCATCTGGACACTCAGAGGATGCATAGCACCAGTGACGGCAGCACCATGCCCCTGCAAGCAAGCATATGCATTTCGTATTGACATGTGCGTAGTATGTATGATTACACAATGTTTACGTGCAAATAAATATACATAATGAATGTTTGCGTCCAATTTGTTCGGAAAGCAAACAGTCTCAGCACCTGAACGGAAATGCACTTTCGATGCATATCAGTCTGGGTGCATGAGCATGCTCGACCCACACCTGCTGTGCTGTATGGACTGCTTCAAATGCATGCTAGCTGCTAGATGTAACAGCAACATTTAGCTGCCGATATGGGCTTTTGAAGCTGCAGGGATTGGATCTACACCATTGGTGGCTGTCCACAAAGTGTTTCCATCGCTTGTTGTTAGGGGCGCGGCCTTTGGACCCTCCCTAGCTGGCTTGGATGTTTGCATCAAGATATAAAGAATAAATTGCACCGAATTCCACTTGAGATCTACACTGATCTATTGGTATCTATTGTTCCATGCACATCCATCCATCGTGAACCACTGCCTCAATGAAATAACGATTTATATTCATGCATTGCACTGTCGATCCAGATCTTTTCTTTCCTGCGCTACACAAGTTTCTTCGAGGAATTCCAGAAACCATCTGTTGCCTCCGGTCCCACTTTGTCTTCAGCACTGCTACCATGTTTATTCTTGAACACGTGTGGTGCGTATTTTGCTGTGCTTTGTTTCTTTCTTACCACCACGTTCACTAGCAGAAACTGCTTCGCACATTTTCAGTTTTGTGGAGCAGTCAGCGTGCCTCCATACATTATCACGGCTCACCCCAAGGTAGGCATGAAATGCACAGACGTCTAAGTCTAAAGGCAGGGCTCCCAGTACATAAATCATGTAACATCAAGTTGCTGCATGTATGAACATTAGTAGGCAAGTGTACCCAAGTGTAGCAAAACGTTGACATTCCCAAAGTCCTGCAAGGATGTCTCCATTCAGTTCTCAAGGCGACTAAACATGCTATATATACGCAATATGTACCTCGTTAGATTATGGAAGAGTATATAATATAATATATACGTACGCATGAACACATAATAACTATGTTTCGCCACGGCGCCTACGGTGATGTTGCCCCAAAGTTCGCCACACTTTGGCTCGTCCCATGCTCCGCATTGTGCCCCGTAGTTTGCACCTTTGCTGAGGACTTCGCAAGGCTAAAAGTGTTGAGGATCACTGTTCATCAACTTTTCATCCCAACTGCAGGATACACCGTGAAAGTCGTGAAAGTGAGACTCCAACAATTATTGCTTCGCCGAGTATCCGAATGTGGAAGAGACCTCTACTGGGATGGTGGGATTAGTACATTTGCAGTTGGATGGAACTGCATCGCTGAGTGCCTTCAGTTCAACTGTAGTCTCTGGAACCACCTCAGGAATGGCAAAATACAACAAGCAAACACAGTATGACATTGAAGTGCAGGTTGTTCTTCTTGCAGTATGCAGCATTCTGCACCTTCTGTACCTTGAGAAGTGGGAGTTGGGTTCTCGCATATGTGAGACAAACACAGCCCATCACAGCCCAAATCTACCCAATGTATTTGCCATTTATTGGCCATCATTTGGACCCCTCCCACCTGCTCTCCATAGAAATCTTCAACCTTGAAGGTGATTGACATGGCCTGTTTGCTTGCTCGAATGAAGCCAATTATATGTGGTGCATCAACTTGCAACTCGCTGGAGTAGTTGATGCCCAGGTTGTAGTCAGGAAAGACCGGTGCATCTGGGTTGCTACTGGTTGGCTTTGGACACACCACCTGTGCTAAATCTACAAGATGCCATGTTTCATAGGCATCTGCCAAGAACAGCGAGATCAAGATCGTTGTGCGAGTAAGCATCGCCATGAGCAACTGGCAAATACTGTAACTGGATGAAAGAAACATGTGCTGCGTTTTTTTCTTTATTGGCTTTGCCCGTGAGTCATATTATTCAAGCAAAGCAACGGTGGAAAGGGGTAAAGAAATGAATGTATAGTTCCCCTCAAATATTTCAAATATGTTCGATGCACATCTGAATCTACTTGAACTAACAATCATGGGAGCTTTCTTGAGAAAGCTTGACCTCAATCACTTGGAAGGCTCCAGCTGAATCTACAGCCTGGTTCCCACACAATGTCTGCTCAACTGGCGAGTGTTTGCTGATCACCGCCAAGACCTCTCTCAGTGAAATATAGTGAAATAACAAACGCCAATGGCTCTAGAATACTGTGGATGGAAAAAAAATCCTGCACCACCTTGGATGGTCGAAACCCTATAAATAATTGGATAAACTGACTATCAACTGCTGCAAGATTTCTTCCATCCACAGTACGTCTGTGTTTTAATTGGTAAACGCGCGCTCGCTGCAAGGCTGGAGGAACATACCCTAATTCCCCACCAAAAAATCTCACTGATCGCCGGCCAAATGTCCCCACGTTAAAATCCCATGAGTTCCGGGTAGCGAAGACTGGCAAGACTTTTTTCCAAGACAGGCGCTTGGTATGGCATCAGTTTCTGACAGATCAAGTATAGTAAACAATTTCTGCAAGCGAACTTCTACCCAATGGTTCCTGGAATGAAGTCCATAAACCATGTGCAAGTGAATGCTTCGATTCAACTGCTCGTTGTTCCTGTGCACATTGCGTTCCGACCCAGCTTTGGGAATGCGGATGGATTCTGGCTGCACGGCTATGCACGGCTACTTGTGGAGATGGGGGAGGACGAGCATCAGCAACAGAGCTGCCGAGGGCGCGAAGCCGGTAGCAGCTCCGGTTTGTTCTGCCGCTTCCAAAACATCTTGCCGAGAAAGAACCTCAGCCACACAGCCAACATCAGCCAACCCGTTCCAACCCTTTCCACATTTGCCAACATTGGGCAACCCCGCATGGAAGAAGATATGCTTGCACAACATTTGTATTTTATAATCCTAGGCATTTTTTTGGTAAATCATCTGATAACGGCATGCATCCCTTCATCCCTATGAAGTTTG